ATCCAGTTCTACATGATCGCAACAAAACATATAGAAGTGGATAAACATTTCATCAAAGAGAAAAATCAATGCTGGCATAATCTGTTATGACCTACCTTCCAACAGGTGAACAATAGCTGATGTGCCTAACGAAGGGACTACACAAGAAGCAATTTGATAAGCTGACTAGCAAGCTGGCTATTGGAAGATATCTTCAAACCAGCTTGAGGGGGTGCTGGAAATTGTGGTTAATGCATATAATAAGATAGTGGCATGTATATATATTGATAGTGAGTGTTGGTGGTAGATAGTGCATGTATAGAATATGATAGTGGTGTTGGTGGTAGATAGTGGCAGTATAGAATATGATAGTGGTGTTGGTGGTAGATAGTGGCATGTTATATAATATGATAGTGGTAGATAGTTGTAATATTAATATGTAAGGCATATAATGGGTTATAAATGATGTTTGTAATATCTCCTATATAAGGAGTGTCATTTGGTTTTGTAAAATAAGAAGTTTTGAATATAACAGAAATATATCCTTCTTCCTCATATTTTCGGAGTTCTTCTCCTCATATTTCTAATACTATGTTAACATCAAACTGATAGAAACAAGATTAGTACCTCAGTGAAGCCTGCACCCACAAAGATATCCCTCACGAGACTGTTTGTTGTAGCTTTGGAGGGGTGGTTATAGCTTATTTTGATTTGGGAGTCTGTGTCAGGCTGTTTGTGAACTTCTGCTTATGTATTATAATGTTTGGTGCAACTTTTACTTACAACTTATGAGACAAAAATAACTTAATGTTGTGTTTGGAGTATGGATTTGGTAGAGACTTGGAAAGAGAAGGAAAAAGTGCGTGAAATGTAGTTTATATTTAATTCACATTTCACCTACCTTTCCTTTTCCATTCTAAATCCCTGTAAAATAAATTGATGTATATTATTGATGATATATTTTGATATCTATTACAATGATCATGATTCCTATATATAGAAGAGGGGTGAGTGTGTAGTAGGTAAGGAGTAGGTGAAGTGGAGGTGGTAGTGGTGTAGTGGGTTAGGTTTAGTGGAGTAGGTGAGGGTAGTGGTGTAGTGGGTTAGGTTTAGTGGAGTATGTTTAAGTGGGTGAAGTAAGTGGAGAGTAGGTGATTTAACAGCCCCCGCAAACTCAAGGGGGATTAGGAACTAACCAACTTGAGTTTGGAGAGAGTAACAAAACAAGAAAATACACACAAAATAAAAGAGGATAAGAGACACTGTATGGTCGTGTCAGACCATTGGTGAAGACACTGGATGGTGGTGTCATAACGTCGTAGAGGGACACTGTATGGGGTTCATAACGTTGTAGAGGACACTGTCTGGTTGTGTCATAACGGTGTAAACGACACTGGATGGCGGTGTCAGACCGATGTAGAAGACAGTTTATGGGGTCATGTCGGACCGTTATAGCAAACAATGTTGTGACATGTTGTGACAGTTTACGGAGTCTTGCTGGACCCTTGTAGAAACTAACCGGAATCAATGTCGGGACAGTTTATAGAGTCTTGTCGGACCCATAAAGGAGCATAACCAGAATCAATGTCGGGACAGTTTACAGAGTCTTGTCGGGACCCTTGAAGGAGCTAACCGGAATCAATGTCGAGACAGTTTACAGAGTCTTGTCGGACCCTTGAAGGAGCTAACCGATCAATGTCGGGACAGTTTATAGAGTCTTGTCGGACCCATGAAGGAGCTAACCGAATCAATGTGCGGGACAGTTTACAGAGTCTTGTCGGACCCCTTAAAAAGTCGCACCCTCAAAGGTGCGCCCA